ATATATATATATATATATATATATATATATATATATATCGGTATTTTAGAGGTAGAAGGGAAAGAGCTAGAAACTGGCAAATGTGTGCATCAAAGCAGGTGAGTTGATTGCTGCATTTGCACAATATAGATAAGAGAATTATTATTCTCTTCCTGCTGAGACAGTGAAATTTACAATTTGCTGACCACTTTTGCAGAAGCCTTAGGGGCCACCTGGAGGGTTTTGACTTTGCATTTGTGATTCCTGTTGAATATCTGTCCTCTAAATAATAGCACTTGTTTTGTCATCATGCTGCCTAATAATAACTGGATTAAAAGATAAAAATGTAACACGAAGAAGGATCTATGATGAAAACAAAGCAATGGAATGAAAAAAAAGTGAGCCAGTTAATTGAACATATGTGGAAAATAATTGCTAACATTAGAGAGAGTAGGCTTTAAACAGAAAATAACCGATATTAGCAAAGTTTTCTTAAGATTGATCTCTGATGACTACATAAACAGGGCTATATAATTTTCTTAGCAAAAAGTGTCAAGTAGCTTCCTCTAAAGTTTGTTCGATTTCTCAGTTTAATCTGGACCTATGGGTCGCCTGATAGTCCCCTATCTATGTATTAACTATGACTGCCTTTCTGGGTTCATCCAAAATCTGCGGAGGGCGGCCACCTCAAAAGAGCCTGTATCTGGATAGGCACTTTCAGGTGCAGACAATAAGCTGCCATTCAAATCACGTTTACATTGGAAAAAATCATACTGGAATTAACAAGAGGTGTGAATAAAGAAGGCTAATGTTAGATTGCAGGGTAGGTTTCTGTTGCCTAAAAAGGCACACAGGTTTATTGCTCTCACTGAAGATAATATGAAAATTAGTTAAAGGTTATAATGTAAATTCTTCCTCCTGTTAAATGGCTCACTACCGGAAAACGTATAAGAACCAGTTTCCTATATTGCTAGAAAGCAAAAAAGTTTTAAAAACTATGTTTTAAACAACCTTTTCTCAAACCACAGATCAAAGTTCCTGGCGAGTATTCTAGTGCTACTCTTATGGGTCTTACTAGGGGGGCAACCTACAACATCATAGTAGAAGCAGTTGAAAATCGGAGAAGACACAGAGTTCTTGAAGAGACGGTTACAGTGGGCAATGATGGTGAGTGGAAATGAGAAGATTCTACTATTATGCTTATCTAATTTTATTTCACAATGGTATTTTTTTACAGCTTACTAGTTGATAGAGAGACGCTGTGGCGTAGTGATTTAAAAGACGCCAGAGAAGGTCTGCTCTGGCGGTTCAAGTCCTACCATCATGTGATGGAGGGAACCCGTCACTTGCCCCAGCTCCTGCCAATCTAGCAGTTTGAAACATATAAATGCAAGTAGATTAAAAGGTGCCACTTTGTTGGGAAGGTAACAGTGCTTCACTGGCCTAGAAACGGACATGTGAACTGCCCCCTAAAGTCAGCTATGATTAGCGGAATAAAACCTGCAGAGACTCCTTTTTCCCCCTTTTACTAGCCGATGATTGCGCTGGCTTCATGTTATCTCCATAGTCCTTTAGGGAGAGCACACACGGGCCCTCTCTTTCTTGGTCTTATACACACACGCAGCCTTGTTTACTTCCCCACGAAGGGAATCTAGTCGGAGAGGGAAAAAGTGGGAATGCTTCTTGTCTTAGTCCAGGATCCTAACTACCATAGTTCTTCAGTTCTCTAGTAGGCTAGTTATATAATAACCTGTTCAGAATACTTTATTTTTCCCTGATTACCATCCCAATATTTGTCATTGCTGTTTCATTTGCAGATGGGAATGCCCACACACAACTGAAATTTTTTTCTCTGTTAAAAAAAAAGCTCATTAAGAAAAACCATGCATTTAAAGCGAAAAGTCTTAATGATAAGAAGACACACACACACACACACAGGCACACACCCCACACACACACGTCTGAAATGATATGCCATTGAACACTACAACCTCTTCATAGCTGGTCTGAGTATCTACAAAAGGCAGAAATCCACAGCTACATTCTTCTTGTAAGGCCAAAGGCTTTCCCTGGCTAAGAGCAGCTTCTCAAGATGTCTCCTGGGAGTCTTAATCTAGAAGACTTGGAACATTTTGCATATGCTCTCTGCCGCTGACTCTGGGCGTTTTTCTTCCTGTAGCCTTGAGTGAGAATTCCATGTATGCATGTAATTATGATGAGGCATCTGTTATAAGGAGTGTAGAGAGGGTTCATCATTACCTGCAGAATGTATGGATGTAACAAAATGTTATTTACTTTGCTTTGCAGTTTCTGAAAGATTAAGCCCACCCACTGATGATGTATGTTATGATACCTTCACTGGTTCTTTCTATTCCATTGGGGATGAGTGGGAAAGGCTGTCGGACACTGGATTCAAATTGTGGTGCCAATGTTTAGGTCTTGGTAGTGGACATTTCAGATGTGATTCTTCAAGTGAGTACCTTCTTGTACATCTTTTTTATTAATAGTTAGGACATACGGAACTCTTAAATATTAATTTAAATGTGCTTTCTACACTAGAATAATGTCCATATTTTGCCGTTCATAAGTTCTCCTTTTTTGTAGTCTACTTATCTAACTTGAAATTACTTTGTTAAAAATTTGTGTTCCCATATTTTGTCTTAAAAGTGACTCTTTATTACTGGCAATTGACAAGAGCTATTTTGAAAGCATGGTTCTTGGTTGGCATGTACCGGTTAATCAAAAATATGGTAAATTCAGGAATAATCATTAATTCAGGAACAGAGAATGTACAAACATGGTGCAACTTGGATACTGAGAATCAGGATTATGTCTTTTTAAAGGTATAGAGCTTGGGTTAGGGAGAATGACTCAAGGTTTTTCTGGAGTAGCTTGCGCGAGGGTTCAGGAATGGGTATTACCATGTCCAATCTGCCTAGAGACTGAGTTAGAATTGAAGCTCTGCTGTCTCTGCCTGGCTCCAGTTTCAACTTAGTCTCGGCCCTAGAGAGACCATTTTGTCTTGGTTCCTGATTTCTTTCCTTAAATCATCTTCCTTGCTATTCCCTTTCCTGCACCTTCCTACCTCCTCCCCTCTGGACTTCCTTCACTTCTTATTTGAGTGGAAGCTGAACCTTACTGCCAGGAGAAGGCACTGATTGAAGAGCCACCCACTGGGGCTCAAATTGGTGGTTGTAGGGCGATTGCCTGGGCCGCAGGCAGATGTCCCACTGTACCAGGGACAGGACGGTCTTTGTTGCTGCTTCTTTTTGGGCTGGGGAGTTGGCGACTGCCATTTTGGGACTCCACGTGCTGCAGCTCAGAGAAGTATGTAGGCGGGTTGCAAGGATCGGCTGGGCTCCTTGCTCGTCGCAGGCATATTGTATTGTATTTGTATTGTATTTATTAAACTTGTATGCCGCCCTATTCCCAGGGGGACTCAGGGCGGCGAACAAACACATGGGGAAGGGGCAATACAAAAAT